TGCGGTGAGTCTGACACTGTGGTGACTGATGTTGTTTGGACATTACACAAAACAATCAACAAGAGAAGAAACGCCCAAGAGTCGGGCTCTGGAGCATATACCTGCGTTTTCAGTAAATACTCTCCTTTCATATACAGAGTGTCCACACTGTTTAAATCCCGAGGTGACAAAATGACACCCTCTGGTTTATCACAGCAGGTCTGTGAGACTTGGGGGAGGAGGATGTATGGAGGACTGTCAGTGTTTGCTGTCTCACCCAAGGTGTTGACTTTGGCTAACGGGAAAAAAAAACCAAACAGGAAATCACTGGTCCAAGCTTGTGTTCACTGCTCACAGAGGAGAGGAGGGGGAGGAGGCCCCCTGAAGAGAAGGTGCTTAGCTTTGGAGAAAGGAGGCAGCAATTATGAAAATGAAAACCCTTGCACTGCAAGAATTTTCATCTCGCCAGTTTCCATGGGAACAGGCCTCGGCCGCCTCCTCCCCCTCCTCACCGAGCCGCTCTGCAGCACAATGCTATGAACTGAAGGGATTTTCACAGAAGAAGAAAGGAGGGCAGGGGGCGGGCTGTGGACCAGACGGGGGGAGGAGGAAACTTTCCTCTGTCAGAGAGATGGCAAGCACAGACACTTCTGGTCCTTTCAGCACTCAGGGTCAGTAGAGTTAGACAGGAGGTCCGTCATCGCACTAGGTCCCCGGTTCCTTTGTCCCTTTTAAGGACAAGTTCACTGTTTTTCAAGCCAGACCTCATTAACGTTAGGTGTGTTATTTATGTTCACATCACTGATGGCCATTTCATTTCTAGTAACAAACTTGCCTCCATGTTCAACTAATAAAAAGACAGTTGTAAGCTGTGCTTCCTTGCTTTCTGCACATCTGTAGGCATATTCCCTGCAAACCTTTGGTATGCTCATATCTTTCACCAAGTAAATGTTCACCTCACTTTGTTCACACAAGTTTGACACAAAATGTTTGTGCAGTTGGTGTTTATTTGTACCACAGCACCAACAAACAGTTCGGTAAACATGCTCACACAGTGTGTGCCCAGAATGGCCACGACTGCAGAGCTCAGGCTTTTATTAGACAGTTTTAACTCTGTTTAAATGGTCTTTGTCTCCGTTCACATCCCTACAGGGTGAAATTGGCTCTTTGCACTGACTAATCCTTAAACAAAGACTCTCTTATGTTCTGCAGGCAAAAGTGTGATTTTGGGCCATATACATAAAATTTACTTGACTGTAGCAGCCACTGTGGGTTTAACCCAGTACATCATGAAAAAACTAATACTCTGTAATACTAATACCTTTTAAATATTCTGAGAAGTAAATAAAATCTAGATAGTGTAATAGTTTGTTTTTGTTTTTTGAAAATGTCCTGAAATACTCTCAAAGTTCTGTCAGCATCACTACTTATAGTACCGTATATAACTGATATTTGTCTCAAACCAGTCTTCAAGATAAAAGACAATGTGATCGTAGAAAAACTTTTTGTCAAGCCATCAAGATTATTGGAAATTTCAAAGAGAACTGCATCTCAAAAAATAATTAATATAATCAAGGATATCTGATGTGAAGAATGATTTAACATTTAACAGCATTAAAATCATTTACAGATGTAAAGATTCATCACTTTTTTTTAATAATCTAGTATATTTACCAACAGTTGCATTGTTTATCTTTGGTACAAGACCCATAATAATCTCACTGTCTATTAACATGAGTTTAAATCTGGTGAGGACATTTTCCCCTCTGACCCCATTTCATTAGTATTTGCATCATTTTCCTGCCGTTGCTTGTCCTTTACGCCTCACTGTAGTTTGTGTTGGTCAGCCGTTAACGTCGGGACTGGATTGACCTTCAGGCTGCAGTCGATGGCAGCTGATCTACAGCCCGAACCTCGGCACAATAAATATCACATCTGTGCACAGAAACCTTTGTCAATACCTGCAGGTCGAACAGGAAACTCCCCCTGAAGATGAAACTCAGCAGTAAAGAACTTTAACCTCATCAACAACACACAAAAGCAGTAGGGATAGACTTTGAATGTAATTACAGCCTTTAGTTTGTTAAGCTCCAGGCCTGCTCTGACTGCACAGGCCGGAGTGATTCTGAGGCTCCATCTACAGACCTGGATGAACTCACTGACACTGTGATGTCATACACCAGCTTTTATGAGGACGTGTGTGTGTGTGTCCACCAAGACCTTCTGCACATAAAACAACAACAGATGCTCTGGTTCACAGCAAGACTCAAGCAGCTCCGTCATGCCAAAGAGGAGGTCCAGCTCACTGTGCCTGCCCCCACCTGTCAGTGGATCACCAGCTTTCTGACAGACAGGAAGCAGCAGGTGAGGCTGGGGAAAACCACATCCAGCACCTGGACTATCAGCACAGGTGCCCCCCAGGGATGTGTGCTCTCCCCTCTGCTGTTCCTCACCAAACTTGGCAGCACTGTATCAGCAGTAAAGTCTTTCAAGTTCCTGGGCTCCACTATCTCCCAGGACCTGAAGTGGACGTCCACCATCAGGACCATCACCAAGAAGGCACAGCAGAGGATGTACTTCCTGCTCCAGCTCAGGAAGTTCAACCTGCCCCAGGAGCTGCTGATACAGTTCTACAGAGGAATCATCCAGTCTGTTCTCTGCACCTCCATCACTGTCTGGTTTGGCTCAGCAACCAAACAGGACAAGTACAGACTTCAGCGGACAGTCAGGACTGGAGAAAAGGTCATTGGTGTGAGCCTGCCTTCCATGGAGGACCTGTACACCTCACGGGTCAAAAGTAGGGCGGAGAGGATCACTGCTGACCCCTCACACCCTGGACACAATCTGTTTGAACTCCTCCCCTCTGGACGACGTTACAGGTCACTGTGCACCAAGACAACCAGGCACAGGGACAGTTTATTCCCCCAGGCTGATGCTCTGACCAACAGTTAGTCTGTGTTTAAGGGTACGCCAGGACACTGTACACGTCGGTGTGCAGCAACGTACAGATGTACATTAGCTATAGTAGCTCTTTTAACGTGTATATGCATGTACATTTTTGTCTTTGTTTTTTTACTTGCGGTTTTGGTTTTATTCTGTTTTTATATTGTTGTGCATATCGGGGGCCGCACAGGGACAGTTTATTCCCCCAGGCTGATGCTCTGACCAACAGTTAGTCTGTGTTTAAGGGTACGCCAGGACACTGTACACGTCGGTGTGCAGCAACGTACAGATGTACATTAGCTATAGTAGCTCTTTTAACGTGTATATGCATGTACATTTTTGTCTTTGTTTTTTTACTTGCGGTTTTGGTTTTATTCTGTTTTTATATTGTTGTGCATATCGGGGGCCGTTGGGCTGGAGTCATATTCCTTGTATTTTTGATAATATTTGGCAATAAAGTTTGTGCTTGTGCTTAACTAGCATTGATGCATAGAGGCCTTGAAGGGCTGTCCCAGGTACATTAGCTATAGTAGCTCTTTTAACGTGTATATGCATGTACATTTTTGTCTTTGTTTTTTTACTTGCGGTTTTGGTTTTATTCTGTTTTTATATTGTTGTGCATATCGGGGGCCGTTGGGCTGGAGTCATATTCCTTGTATTTTTGATAATATTTGGCAATAAAGTTTGTGCTTGTGCTTAACTAGCATTGATGCATAGAGGCCTTGAAGGGCTGTCCCAGTTCATAGGGGAAGATTTCAGCCACTGCTCCTGGTGACTCCATTTTGATGGGTTACTCAAAAATGAGGGGTAGGGGTAAAAAAACAGGAAACGAGACTGGGCCTGAGATGTGCAGAAACTCACAAAGACTGGAGTGAAGATCAGTGGAAAAGAGGGTTACGGAGCATAGAAGGAAAGTTTGACATGTTTGGGCCCAGTTGTCGACAGGATGTCAAAAGAAGAGTGGGAGAGAGGTGGAAGAGCGAGTGAAGCATCCTGTGTCATGGTTTCAGGACTGTCTCCCAAAGGGTGGTCACACCAAATACTGACTTTGGACTGGAGAAGTCATTTGGGTCTGAAAATGTTGTTGTTTTTTTTTATTACTGTGCACATATTTCCTGTATTTTCTGGTTATATCCTAATGAACAGAGAAATAAATATGAATTATAATTACAACCTGCACAGAACTGTACACCAAGTGCACATATAATAGAAACGGGCATTTCTGTCTAAATAAATCATTTGATGTTCATACTGGCAGCTCTGGACTTCCACAGCAACATCACAGTTCATCTTGGTTTCTGCTCATGTTGGATTTAGTGAAAAGTCTCCAGGAGGATGTTTGGCGTGAAGCCCGAGCTGCTGCTGTCACACTGAAACAAAAACTCCTCGTTAGTTTGCACGCGGAGGCTTCGGCTGCTTTTCCTTTCAGTGAGAATGTTTGGACTAATGAGACGTTTGGAAACTGAACAACAGTGGCGTTCCCCAGTGGAGGGGTCTTTCTTCACAAGGTTTCATGAAAGTGTGAAACTGTATCAGTGGGAGGAAAACCCCCAATTCAGGACTAGGACCTCTACTAAAGCCAAGAGAAGACACATTTGTACCAGTTGTTTGAGATTATTCCACCTTTGTTCAGCACTGCTCTACACAGATTTATGTTATAAAATAGTAAAAGGAAATTTTTTTGGTGCTTATTTTAATCAAAAGCAGCTCAATACAAAAGATGGAATAAAAACACTTGCAGGAAATAGGCTCAAACACAGCAGAGGATTTAAAATACAAATGAATAGTTTATAATAAAAGCAAGTTTGAAAAGATGTTTTTTTTTAAAGCAATGTTTGTGTTATTGATTAATCTGAGTTATTTTCACAGTTAATTGATTGCTTTGCTTGTAAATGTCAAAAATAGTAAATTCCTGGAGTCTGAGCTGATGTGTTCATCCTGGTTGTTTATTTGATCCACAGTTCAAACAGCAGAAAAATTCACTTTCCGGTTGGAAACGACAAAGACGAGCTGTAACCAGTGAACTGGGGACCAGTCTTTGTTTCCTGCCCTGACTGTTGTGTTTGTGTGTCTTCCAGATGCTGGGAACTCTCACTGCTGTGCCCATCAAGGTGCCTCAGGTCAGCTCTCTGCACCGACTGGCAGGACAAGCAGCTGCCGTCCTACCTCAGGTAACGTCGCCGCCCCAGTCAGACAGTGCCTGAGTACTGTACTTAGGTACTGCTTTGAACTACTCAAACTGTAAATCCCTGCAACACACTTTAACAAGGGGGCGAGGCCACATGAGTCTTAAACAGTTTAGACTGAAGAGACTAAAACCTGCAACAAGCCCAGCTTCTCTGGAGGCAGTTTGGCTGCAGTGTTAGCAGGTGTCCACCAGGTGGCAGCACCAGCCAGCTGACTCTGAGCAGCCCTCAGCAAGTCACAGGTAACATAGAACCAGATGTGATAGAGGTCAGAGGTCACCCCCTCTACTGGTGATTTGTTGATTATTGAGCCCTAAAACACGTGACAACATCTGAGGTCACTTCAACCCGAGGCAACACACTTGGTCAGTTAATCAACTGGTCGACTGACAGGAAATTACCCAGCAACTGTTTTGATGTTATTTAACGCAGTGTTCTTCCTCCAGGTCAGGCCAAAGACCCAGATCCCCGACAGCCTTCCCCACAGCCTCTGCCAAGAGCTGCAGCCCCTCAGCCTGCAGAGGGCCACCGCTGTGGTCAGTCCTAAGAGCCAGGGCCCCACCCTTCCCACTGCCAACAGCACCTTCAGCCCTGACCACCAGCCTAACGGCCAGAGCAATGCCTCGCCTCTCCCGGCACCACCACACGGCCCATCAGGGGTCTCGGATTCCGGCGCCCCAGCCCAGCATGCCACAGCAGGGCCTGGCGTGGCGTACGCCATCATTGCCGCCTCCCCCACGGTGTCTGCCGTCAGCGAGGCCGTCAAGGTGCAGCCACTACTCTTCAGCACTGATAACAAGGCTGGTGTCTCCACCAACACCGAGTCAGACACCAACTAATGTGAACGCATCCAGAGACATGTCGATGACATCTGTTCAGATTTGGTCCAGAGTAGACTTTGACCTCTTGTAGCTCCAATTCAGCACACGGTGAAATCCTGGTTCAGTGTGAACACTTCCAGAATGACTGAGTGACACAAGTTTTAACACATTTTTACACTCAGTTCAATTTAAAAACTGAAAAAATCCTTTTCAGAACACACCGGTTTTTTGTCAGAAGAACACTTTCAATTTATGTTATGACATTATGGGAAAAAAACTAATAACCAAAAATATATTAAATTAGTTTCTGTGGTTCCGGCACAGTGGTTAGCACTGTCACCTCAAAGCAAGAAGGTGCTGGGTTCGAGCCCCGGCCGACCTGGTGCCTTTCTGTGTGGAGACTGCATGTTCTCCCTGTGCCTGCATGGGTATTCTCTGGGTGCTCCGGCTTCCTCCCACAGTGCAAAGACATGCAGCTTAGGCTGACTGGTGACACTCATATTGCCCGTAGGAGTGAGTGGTGTTTGTCTACATGTCAGCCCTGACAGACTGGCGACCTGTCCAGGGTGGACCCTGCCTCTCACCCAGTGTCAGCTGGGACTGGCTCCAGGCCCCCACTACCCTATTGAGGAATGAGCGGTGTAGATGATGGTTGGATGGATAAAGTAGTGTTAGCTGTGGTGGGGAAGTACTTCACAGTGTTGGACTATAGGTATTGATAATGGATGGAAGATTTCCATAATAATGGCAGTGTACCACAATCTGTATCACATGCAGAGTTCTAGTCTAGTGTTTAATGTCTGAAGATCTGTTTGTGTGTTTCTAGGTAATAATAATTCAGCCACAGGCCCCTAGCAGCTCCAAGGGGTCCCCGGGGGCCCAAGCTGATCTCCCATCACAGGAGGCCCCACCTGCCCCAAAATCCCCATCCCAGAAGAAAGACGAGGACCCTGAGGTGAGACTTCCCACCTGTACATCTGAACCTCTGGCACTTGCGTTCATACATTTGTTGTCATAGAGCAGCTCAACTTGACACAAACCTGTGTCTCAAAGCTTCCGACTGAAAGTGGGTTAGTGCTACGCTGACTGGCAGGGTCGGCTAATAGTGAAGAAGGTGATTGTGGGTGAGTTCCAGACAGAGATGTTGTTGGTCCCTGGAACAAAAAGCTTAGATGCATGATACTGCGTTTATTTATCAGCTCATGTTTAACATCAGTGTGATGTAAATTTAGCCAAGAAGCTAAGTTTCTTCTGCTGCTGTTGGGTGTGAAAAGACAGACGTGAAGAAACTGAGTGACAGTTTGGCTTTACACCAGCACATAAGAATTAAGATCAGAAGCCCTGATCCCATCTAGTTTTTTTTTTTTTTTTGCACGTTTCCACAAAATGGAAAGAACTAAACATATACCCAGACATATAATGTGCAATATATAGTGATTTTCCTGACACAGGAAACAGTGAGCAGACGGGCTTTAGTCCGCGTTTAATGATGAACTTTGTCCTACACTCACTACAGAGAACATGTCATTTTATTTATGTAGAACGTAAGTTTTCAGCCAGTGGTCTGTCGCCCCCTTGTGGTCCTAGAAGACACTGCCGGTGGTCCCAGGCATTAAATAATGTGTTGTCACCGTAGGAATCCTTTTTTATTTTTTAAAACTAATTTCCCTGTATTATTTTTGTGAATAAAGGAATTCATGCGAATATATATGATTTAGAAAAACAAAGGTGACTTCTTTCCCCTCTGGTCTCTCCACCTCACAGCAGCGGTCCTCAGTTGTCCCGGGGAAACTCGGTGTTCTTTTACATTAAAGTGCCGGCAGCAACGAGTCACGTTTACTGAACCCTGAGAAATATGTTTAATTTATTCTCCATATGTTGAGGTGCACAGTGCATGGTGAGCCTCCCTGCTGCACTCTGACTGAAATGCTTCACACTGATGGTTAATTAGGATTAATTTACTGTCTCTGAACAATACGCGGCATAAATGGCTCCTTTCAGGGAACAGTGTAGATAAATGACTCGAGGACGTTCAGGGAGCCTTAGTCAAAATACAAAGAGGAGCGAGTTACAAACTTTGTGTTGCGTGACAAAGGGCCCATAAAGTAGCGTTGGTGTTGTCATGGTAACACGTCTGTTTACAGATTAGAGTTGCTGAAGAAGACCATGAGATGTGGTTGAAACCTCTGGCAAACTGTGAACTTTGATGCATAAAACTCTTGGATTTAACTGAAAGTGCCTAAAAACAGATGTCAAATTTAATTTTCTGATAAACAGCTCATTTCATTCTGTCATGTTGACAGCAGAGAAGCAGACTGAAACAATCCCATAATGCACTCTGCTGATGTTAGTCCCCTCCAGCAGCGAAGTGGAAACAAGGCAAATCAAAGTGAGAACAGGAAACATGACGTTTCTGATATTGTCGTCTTCTGAGGTGAAATGTCAGAAGAGTTGGCCACAAACATGGAGAACCTTCCAATCAGATGATGAGAGTCCTCCTCTTCATTGCTAACTCCTCTCTCTCCCACAGAAAATCGCTTTCATGGTCGCCCTCGGCCTCGTCACCATAGAACACCTGGAAGGTGAGTTCACTCTCCACAGCCTGTTCCAAATATTTTCAGTTCTTAAACTGTCAAAATCTATTACACAATTTTGTGTGAACAGAAATCCAGATGAAGAGACAAGAGAGGAAGAGACGAAGCACAGCCAACCCGGCCTACAGTGGCCTCTTTGAACCAGAGGTCAGAAACAGGCTCTTTCTTTTATAAGTCACACTTTAATTTGAGGATTAGATGCATCATTACACTCAAGGTTTTTGGGTTCAAACTCTCTTCCTTCTTGGCCCCTTGCAGCGTAAACGCCTGGCGTCACATTACCTGAACAGCTCGCTCTTCCTGTCGGCACGAGGTAAAACACACACCTCAGTATCTCTGTGCGAGCAGCATGGAGGGCGACCTCAGCTCCGCCTGAGGCTGCGAAATATGTGCAGATGTGAAACAGTAGTGCTCATGAGTGTGTCAGGTTTATCTGTGGTACAGTAGCAGTCCAAACCATGTTGTCATGTGATTTGACGACATATCTGTTAAAAGACTCCAACATTTTGGCCATTTATAAAAAAAATGAGCCTTGGTGTTTGATAAAACCTAAATTCAGTTGACAATGATGAGAAACTTCCTAATAGTTTTAAGAAACTAAGTCCCAGCTTTGAGGGGAAAGACTTCATACAAACCTTCACTTGGTGAAAAAAAAAAATCCCACTAATATCTCAAATATACAGCTGGATGCAAATGTTTGGCTGTTTCTAGCATAAACAGTGTTAATGCGCTTTTTATTTCATGAACTGAAAACAAGTCACTGTGCAGCTCGAGGCCTTAACGAGTCATCCGCTGAAACGTTTGCATCCGGCTGCGTCACTGTGGCTCTTTTCTTCTGGCCCTGCCTCTAACCTGCCACTAACCTCTGCTCTGCTTCATTTGCACGCTAGACACTGAGGATTTCTGCTGGAAGGTAGGTCACATGACGCCATAACCTGGACGAAGGACAGGCTGTGAAGCGCTTCGACAACCACTTAATTTAATACATCAAAATCACCCAACCACATTTTGTCAGTTATAATCTGTCTTTATATTCATGTTGCTGAAATTCATTTCTAAAAAAAATGCAGTTAAAACTGAATTGATGAAAAAGTCAACCTGGGACATGTGGACAGGTCTGAATGAAATCAGTCAACCGGTCCAGTCATGTGATCCAACAAAGACCAGTTGAGATAAACATCCGATAACCGATACGTACAGAGTACTTGAAATATTCTTCAAATTGCAAAACTGTATATTTGAAAGAGAAAAATACACACACACATTTGGATGTAAGATTTTCAAAGTAAAATATATAGTGTAATTTCTTTCAGTTACTTATCAAGTTACAGTTGGTACATCACAGGATGAAGCGCTCACAGCCTCTTTCCTTCAAGCATGTTTTTTTTTTTTTCATTTTAAAAATTTCAGCAGTGCATCTGTAAATACAAATGCAAGCTGCAAAGGTATGGTGACGGTGTTCTGTCCTGCAGAGAGGTGTAAATGTTTCTCTTTTGGAAATCGGTGGTATAAACATCTGCAGAAGAACCAGGACAATGTGTGACTGACCCCGTGTCTTGTGCTGTGACAGGAGGACTTGGAGCATGACGAGCACTGTGCCATCTGTAAGGAGGACGGTGAGCTGCAGCCCTGCCACAACTGCCCCCGAGCCTTCCACCCCAACTGCCTCCATCCGCCACTCAAAACCCCACCTCGCGGCCCCTGGTACTGCCCCAAGTGCAAGAAGAAGGTAGGGACTTCAGTGTGTTTGCAGGACCAACATGTCTAGTTGATTTGGCCAGAACCCAAATGACTAAAGCTGGTGTACATTTTCATCCAAAAAATAAAACAAGTGCCAAAATTAAGAGTGTAGCCATTAGCTTAGCATAAAGACTAGATACAGAATCCACCAACACCCAGATTAACATGTTGTAGCTCATTTTTTAACTGCTATAAAATTCAGACTGGCCATTTCTCAGGGGGATGTGAGCACCTGCCATCCAACTGGACTACATGCAGGTTAAACCTGTTACTTAGCTGTAGATGGACTGTTGGCTCCGACTGCACCGGGCTGGCTGTTCCCAGTCTTTGTGCTAAACTAACCAGCTGCCTTAACGCTAGCAGACAGATGTGACAGCGTAAACTATTCTACCAGAAGTCATAAATGTGTCTTTATAGTTAATAGCACCCAACTGGTAATTGTTGAAAGTCATGCTACAGTGTTACCACATCCAGGTTTGTGTTGCGTGCGTACACACACGGAAAACACTTTACACAACAGAAGTAAGGCCGCGATTTAATCTGACTGCGTCCTTGGACCAGTTTGTGTTTATTCTGCACCAATTCAAATTCACTGTGCAGGCAGAGGGAAAAATATAAATCCAAGATTAAAGCTCTTTTTAAATGGAGACCTCAGAGAAACAGACAAAAGATTTCTGAGGCTGCAGTTTAGAACCGAGTTTCAGTTTTAATGTGCAACCAGACAAACAGTGTAGGTTATAGTTTCCACGTGTCAGTGACGATGGCGCTCCTCTGGTCCTCAGGTTCTGAACAAGGAGAACATGTCATGGCCACAGAACTTCGTTCAGTCCTACGTCACACACAAGACCGGTGAGGACACGCTGGGCCGTAGGTGAGACAAGTTGTGTGGCTGTGGTGTTTATACTGACGAGCTTCTGTTGGTTTGTGCAGTGAGACAGGAGGAGAAGAGACGACTGCTAAGGAGAAACGGTGAGCTGAAGAAAGAGTGCGCTCACCTGCAGGAAGAAGATGAGAAACTCAACGAGACGCTCAAGGTAAACAACACACCCAGACACAGCTCCATACCAGGAGGGAGGGAGTGATGGAGAGAAGAAGAGTGAGTTGGTGGGAAGGAGTGGGGGAGGGGACGAGGCAGTGAGACAGGCAGGAGGAGGGAGCGAGTTAGAATGGAACAGGGACTGGACCGAACGAATTGGACTGAACGAAGTTCTGTGGCTGTGAGCTGGAGGAAGGCAATGAGAGAGAGACAGGGAGTGAGTGATGGAAAGAAGGAAGAAGCAGTGAGGGAGTTAGGGGGAGGCAGACTGAGTTGGAGGGGGAAAGAAGGGAGACGCTGACAGTATCTGAGGTGAACCCAGTACTTACTGACAGTGCAGCAGAGAACCAGTCATGGTTCAGTAGCAAAGTCCTACAGCAAACAGACTCTGTCACTAGGAACGAGCTGAGAGCCACATCAAGCCTCAGCCCACAGCTGCTTGGCATGAAGACTAGAAGCAGAGGGACCCAGCCAGCAGCACCTCCACAGTTCACCCTCATTAACGCAACAAATCGTGTTGAAATCCACCTGGATATCAGCTTAGACCATTTTCATTTATACCGTGGTTTTAAGCTTAGTTCAGCTTCTCTGTAAAGGACCCAGACATGTCTGACTCACCTGTGAAAGCCACGTGTGCTGTTTCCTGTCTGCAGCAATGCATCGAGCTGAGAGAGCGTCTCCTCGGGCAGCAGAGAGACACCCAGGCGTCGCTCAACCGCCTCAAAGCTCTCATCAGGTTGATCCAGCGCAACCAACTCATCCAGGTCACCGTGACAACCGCCGCCACCTCCCTGCTCTCCCAGTCCTGGATCAAACCCACCGGTGCTGCGGCCCCGGGCCCCTCGGCCACTCTCCTGCAGAAGAGCGACACCAACAATTAGCCCCGCCCCCCGCGGTGCTCGGACTCTGTCCGAATAATGTCCGCCATCTTTTGTCAGAGCTGAAAGGCGACAGACTGAGACGGAGCTGCAGCCTCCACTAGAGTCAAGTGTTTTGTAAAAGCCAACACCTACAGTGCTTACGAGATTTTTTAAGTTATTTTCTATTTATTATTGTTCTTGGCCTTAATGTATTTATTACAGACGTTAGAGTACAGAGCCGCCGCGGACGTCCCTTTTCTAAACAGGTCCGATTCTTGTTCTGCAGATAGACCAGTAGATCTAGGCGTGACAGGAATGTACAGTCATATATCGGAGTAGATGTTCGTCCTCCTATGAACAATGTTTTGCCATAAGAATTCAGGAAGATGTTTTCATCGTGTATGTAAACGAGCTTTCAAACAAACAGAGAATAACTTTTTCAGTATTAATAAAGTAAAAGACAAAAGTATTTAAAGATGAAACTACAGAAATTAGCATTTCTAGTGGAGATTTTAGTATTTTCATGCTGATGCCTGTTGATAAATGTGTAAGTTTGGAGTATTCCAGGGGATCATTGTACATATGTTGTATTATTGATAACACCATCATCTCGTCATCTTCTGGGTTTGACTGCAGCACAAACAGGAACAGACCGAGTCTGCTTTTTCATGGAGAACCTCAAACATCTTCAGGTTAAAGTGTGACGTCAGTGATCGAGTCAGTCTGTTGGCACGCGCCGCGTCCTGGTTCGTCAGTCTGTGCAGCGGCTGAGCCTTTAAACGTGGCAACACAAAACGCCTTCATCTTCATTCATGCTGTGGCGTCCAAAACCCAGTTCTGTTTCATTTACCATCATATATGCTAAGGAAATAAACTCACTTCATAAAGGCTGAAACCAGGGAACGGTTTTAGCGTTTCCTCAATCAATAACTGATACAAATCGATTATGAAAATGCTGATTAATCGTTTCAGCTGGAGGAAGCACTGCAGACAGAGTGAGCATTAAGACACCAGTGAGCAGAACAAGTCACCACAGATGTTTCACCAGTCTAAATGGGACGTGCACGTCTGTGCTAGAAACGTGTGTCTAAAGGTCCACGTCAGCTCTTCAGGCCCAAAGGTTTAATCAGATACGTTTTGAATTGTTTGTTTGTGCGTTTTGAGAGAAAACTGCCCGTTTCTGCTGCATTTTGTCTGCGACAGGAAACGGACTAAAGCTGCACGCAGCCGGTGGGACGCATCATTTGGTCCCTGCCAGTCACTAGAGAGAATCTGCCAAAACCCCTGTGGTTCTGTACTGGGACCACTGGTGTCACCTTTATACTTTAGCTTTTTGATTCTTTACTCGCTTGGATGTTTCACCGTGATGAGCCTGCTAGTCCGACAGATGAACACTGCCTCAAGTCCAAATGGTCTCACATCCAGGGTTTTCGTCTTTGTTGGTAATTCTCTAGACACCGGTCAATCAGAACTGGGACAAGTCTTTGTGGCTGTCAGGGGCCTGTGGGAGGACACGGTGGCCTCCTGCTCAGCCCGTTAGTCTTCCTGCTGCTCCGGAGCTAAGTGTCACACATAGACCTAGGAACAACCACACGGCTCTGCCACCTGTCCACGCACAAACATGAACATAGCGCCAGAGACACATGCCTTCATCAGCAGACGAGGACCCGAGGTGGTTTTACTTTATCTGAATCATATCAGCTCAGCTGTGCAGGACAGATCCTCATGTCGAAGCATCACCTGCACGGTACAAGGTAGACAAACTGTCAGGATGAGCACAGTAACAGGTGCCAGGCTTTTGTCTTAGTCTGTAAACGTTCCAACACACCCAAGGTTTGCACTCAGTGACAGCAGCGTGAGGCTCCATGCACGTTTCACCCAAAGGCTCCATCAGGTCACACAACATCTGCAGCTTTACTTTAACAACCGCTTCAGTTCATCTAGTCAGAAACCAGCCCGGCTTCCCACCGACCACCTCGTTCATATCTACAGTAAACAAACATGTTTGTTTGTCGTTCCAGTCGTTTCAGACATGAAGGCTTGTTTGACTTGAAGAACAATTAAGTGACTGTTGGCTGAAAAGTAAGGAGTAGTCGATTTAAAGCTAATTCACTAATACATCACACAATAATGTACAAACAGGATGAGAAACTTTACTACACTGGTACTGCAACTGTGTTGTTCATCAATCTGCAGATTGTTTAAAAAAATAAACACAAATCACTTCTTTTAATAGAAGTACTGGAGTACTGGGGAATGACAGACCCAGCCGTCAGACCCTGCTCGACATGAATTTCAGACATATCACAAATACAAAAGCTTTGGACCAAACGTGCATTGAGCGCTGCTACTACTACTACTACTGCTACTACTTGGAACATTTCCAGGTTTACACTAATACATTTCAGAGGCACACGCAGTACTTTAACACATCTTTTAACCTATAGGAACGAAGGAAATCACAGCTCAGCTACAGAAAACTGGCTCCACCTACGATGTTGATCAGTTCAGAACAGCTACTGTGAAGTATTTCTCTAACACAAGCTTTTTCATTTGGCCTCTGAATGAAGGACTTTTAGTTTTTATTGCAGTACTGAATACTTCACTCACACCACTAATGTTCCATTCATTTTACTGCAATTAGACACAACACTTCCTAAAAATCCTTCCAGCCCAACAAGTTGTCGCCTCTCGTCAGCTTTTACATTTGATTCCACAAACATTCAACCTGGTTCCGGTGTCTCTGTCTGCTGACACGTCACTGCCACACAGGCCTACGTCATGCAGTGCCCTGGAGCTGAACTAGCATTAGATTATCAATTCATCTGAAAATTCTTTCTTGAGCAGTCATTTAGTTTGTGAAAAGTCAAAACGGTGAAACTGTCCACCGCGGGTTCTGACAGACTGGTATAAGACAGAAAAGCCACAAGCAGCTCAAGTTTCTCTTTGTGGTTTCAGATTTAATCATATAAAAAGAAGCTTAAATTACCATTTAACGTCTCCAGACTCGTCAGGTTTACATTAAGGCTGGACCCAACCTGCTTCGGGGGTTCCACGTGCAAAGAAACCTGGTGAACCCACATTAGCGCCCACGTCTCCACCTGCAACTAAAACCAGAACAACCCCAACCACCACACCGCCTCACTCCGCGCCTTGTACCCTTCATCTGTTTCTAAAAATCATCTCCGGGAGAAACTGTGCAGATCTATTTTAATACACAACATGACATGTGAACAAAGAGGAGTTAGAACATTTTTATATTCTTTTATCAAGGAGCAAAAAACAAAGGACACACAACATTGGGATTTTCTATCATTTGCCACTTCTGCATCCTGACGTCCAATGTATGATTTTGCCATAAGGAGGCGACGGCGAGGGTTTTTAGATGGAAGTGAAAGTGTTTGTGGAAATAGGAGATTTTCCTTTGTCGTTGCTGAGGGGACTGTCCAGTGGATAGTGTGTATAGGAAAGTGTTTGTCTTAAATATGCCAATGTAGTTTTTCTCCTCTGTGATGCATTAAACCGCTGATGGAGGACAGTCACTCCTGTTTCAGAGTAGTCTCACTTTTTTGTACCGAGTTCTTAAGAAAACTGGACATTAATAAACAAAATGCAACAGAAGCTCAGGTTCACGTCTCTGTTTTCCTCTCATCCACACTGAGCGAGTGCAATCAATCACCCAAAATGTGAGCATGTGGAAGCAGTTCAGTGGTGCCCAACGCCACTTGAGGGGTTGAAAAAGGAAAATTATTGCTGATCCATAAAAACTACCTGGTTTGCTTTGGTCCTCATGAATCTTAAATAATTTTATATACAAGTATCATTTTCACTCAAATGAAGAAAAAGCAAAAAACGGAGCTGCTGCATGTCTCCGCTGTTTGAGGCAACATGAAGCTTTAATGTAATATTAACACACATGCACATTTAAGTTCTGTTTTTTCAGTGAGTTATAATCTCACAACCCTGACTAACAGTGTGTATGTGAATCCTTCACGCCTGGCTGAGCTGTAACACACACCGCCCTGTGCAGCTGCTGTCTGCATCATTACATGTGTCAAAAGGCAACTTGTTACTGCAGAAGAGCCACACGTGAAACACTGCTGCTTAATCCATTCAATTAAATGTCTAACACTGTTATCTGATGGAAAATCCAGTAAGTCAGCCGTGCTCAGCGAATACAGTACTACCTAAACCTAAAACGTGTGTGCACAGGTGACGAAGGAAAACTCCATGACCAAACTAAATGTCCAAAATGGTTTTGCACTGTGAAGGCTCATCCTCTGAGAAGCAGAACCATGCTCAGCCGGTCGGGACAACCTGACTTTCACTTTTTCACATTTGTGGTATGAAAACAGAAACACTGTCCTGGTGATGAGCAAAGGTCAGAGGGTCAGAGGGTCAGGGTTGTTGGGATTCATCCTCTGAGGAACAGCAGATGAAGCGTTTGGAGACAAAAAAAACATTGGTTCCCAGAGGATGACCCTGTGGATCCAGATGTGGTGCAGGTTCAGGGTGTTACCTGTCCAGGTGGGCAGCGGGAGCCGAACACGGTGTGAAAATGTTCGATGAGGATCTCAGTGAAGATATTGATGGGGGTCAGCGCGGTGAGAGAGATGGAGGCATGACGAGGCCAGACCAGGTTGACCCCGAACACACAGGCCAGGTTCGATGGGCCCATCTTGTTCACAATGCTCTCCTGGGACACCTGAGCCGGAGGGGTGGAGGGTTCAGTACGTTACACACAGCACATGAAACAACCGACAGACTGGCTCTACTCTGAATCGGACTAAACCGTTGTCATTCGACTGTTGTTGTGCATCAGAGGTTTTCTCTATGGAGCCTCATGTTCGTTAAACGTGCAGCAGAACAAGCAGCTGACATCAACTGGATGACAAGGCTGTTTAAATTAATTCTTGGAAGCAGAATTTTCAGCTACTGCTACGCCCTTCTACCCATCATGCCAGTGCTGTACGTCGTACCCTCTGTCTGTGCAGATTCTCAGTCATCCAGGTCATAGTAAACTGAAAAAACTGGACTTGGATTTCTAGGTAGAAGATGTTTCACCTCTCATCCAAGAGGCTTCACCAGTTCTGATGAACTACCTGTCCCACCCTACAGGCTGACCTTCCTACCCACTGTGCTAACCTGCAGTCACAGCAGATTAGCAGCTTGTTAGTGACTGAAACCAGGTCCAAACACTGTGGAGCTGCTGTTAGCATCAACACAGAGTTTCCCTCTTCCCAGCAGTTTGGTGACATGTTTGGACTCCTTTTCACCAGCTGGGAGTAATTGCCAACATCTCAGACTCAGAGGCTGACGTGAACAGTCCACCTACCTTCTATCTACTGACCTAAGCCCCTTGTCCACTGTCTGGTACTGACTCAACTCCCCTTGTTTGCGTCTCCATCAGCTTTACACAGCTCCTGTCTCGACTGCCTTCCACACCTTTCTGCTGTCCTACATACATCCTGTTTAGCGGCAGTGGACTTGTGCTGATGAAGGTAACAGGACAGCGAGTCCCTCTGCTCTCTCCTGTTTCACATTTGTCCTGGTTTCCTTGTGTTGGCAGTCCGCTGCTGATCACGGGGTCTCTGTCTGTAAAGGCCTGTGATTATCCCCACTTAAATCCGATTAAACGCTGATGCTGCCTGTGGCGAAGATTCTTCTCGTTGCACTCATGTTCACATTGATCTGCAGTAAAACAAAAACGTGACCTACCATGTGTAGGAAACACAGCAGGTACTTTGCCACGATGAAGTTGTGCTCAGGAAGACTTTCGATGATCTGTTTGCACCTGGTCACTCGCAGGCTGGTCTCCACATCTGGCAGAACAGAGAGAGACCCTTTACTCCACAGCAACACCTCGACGAGCCACAGGGACACGGTCGACGTGTGAACAAACAAAAATCACAAGTGGTTCAGAAACAAATGCAGAAAAAGGTGCAGTTCCACATTCTGGAATAACAACAACAACAACCAAGCAGCGTGTCAGACTGCGTGTCGGGCTTCGACAGGAACAAACCATCTTTTCTGCTGTGACAGCGTCAGTTTAATACATCTGTGATTTGGGAAATACAGTCATAAATGTTAAATTCCCAGACCTCCTCAACAGAAGGATTCTGTTTCTAAAGACTGGTGGAAATGTTCTCCCCCCCGCCACCATCACCGCCATCATGTGTGCAGGACTCACTGAGGAGGTCCTGGACCTGGTTGTAGACTCTGAAGGTGAGCAGAGGTTCAGGCAGCTCTCTGAAAAACGCCTTTAGGATCACAGCAGGAACGTGCATGTCATATTGATCCAAGTCCACATGCTTCCCTGAAACCAGTCACATGATTAGAGTAACATTTAGAAGTAAAGCATGGTAGAACAATGAGCGGACAGTGATCTGTGGATTACAATGCCTTTCAAAAGTTTAGGAACACCCCCACGTTTCCAGCTCTTATTGACATGTAAACAGTTCAAGTCCAGTGAATCGCCTTCAGTGGTACATGGCTAAGACGTAAACCACCAGAGGTAAAAAGAAAAGTCACCAAAACCTAAACACAAACCAGGCCTTTCTCAGGAATCAGTACCAGGTGAACCTGCATTGTTTCTGTAGCAGTGGAAGTGAATGAAGCCTTGGAAACTGATGCAAACAGTTCATGTCCTGACTTACAGCAACAGATTCTCTCTGTGTTGGATCAGACATCTGGAAAAAGGCCATGAAGACAGGAAGTCAGAGCTGCTCAGGGTTTGAATGAGCCACAGCTGTAGGCTGTGGATGAGGAGAGAGCAGTGACAACGGCACAGGGTCTAGACTTTCCAGATGAGAAGTGAAAGTAGCACATCTGTGGGAATGTCTGCAGCAATGCCGTCTGCCCCAACAGTTTGGTTTCAGTTGTAGAGAGAATGACACAGGTGTGTTCACCTGTTGGGTCAATAACTACTGGAAACACGGGGCTGATCTAAAACTTCTGACCGGCAGTGAATGACAAAGACAGTTCAAATGAAACAAGCATGTTGTTTGCATCAGTAAAAACATTTAAACATCCTGCAGGTCCTGGACTCAGGGACAGATTCATGTGAGAAGAGAGAAGCTACCAGTTTACAGTGTCTCCTCACCCTGGTTGTAGAGCTTCTGAATGTCCTTGACAAGCTGAACTCGAGCCGATCGCCTGAAGATGCCCTCCGTCCTCAGACCTGACACACAGACAAGCTGAATCAAAGACAGATCTGAACAGACACTGGAACAAAATGGAAAACATCTGTAACATCCTAAACATCATCAACTCATCTCCTGCTGGAGGAGACTAAACCTTCCACAACACATGCAGGCAGCGCAGCGAGTCCAATGAGCCCGGACGAACAGCATCTCCACAGTTCTCGACATAGTGAAAACTCTCCTCCTGAAGCTAAAGGACTGTATGAAGAGGAGACAGGTGCATTGTTTGTTCCTCCTCCACCATTTTCCTTTACACAGGTTGACAACACACATTGCCAATAAAGCTAAAGGCCCTGCCTGCTAGGTTCAGCAAAGACATGATGACAATCTGCCATTATTTATCAGTGATTTGGAGAAACATCTGCTGCAGGAAGCTCTGGAACCAAGAACACCTAAAAATCTAATTATAGACAGCCCGCCTTCAATCGTGCCACTTATTTCCTTTTTTAAAATTTCTTCTGCTTTTCTGTAAACTGTAATCTCAATTTTTAAACACTGAAAAGGGAGGAGCAACACAGAACACGTGGCTGATGCTGTTACTACAGGTGAAACCATACATCCTGAACTGAAACGGAGCTCGGGGGCAAAAAGGCCGAACGACAGCAGCAACAAAGCACCGGTGTCACTCATGTTAATTCATACTAGTGTAGAAAATGGTTCCTAGTCTTCAGAGGTCTGGTGTTCACTGAGTAAAAAACCCAAAGAGATTCAGTGTCAAACTCCCCAGAGCCACATCAGACTTACCTCGAAATCGACTCAGATGTCTGGGTCATTAGCTCAACACTCACCTTTGTCCTTCAGGTAGGACACAGTCTGCTGGACCACAGGTGGGATCACGGCCCCCCTGTTCTTCTCTCTGATGCTGTTGGAGAAGCACCGATAGATCAGTGCGACTGATTGTGACACTCAACAAGCAGCGTGAAGAACAAACTGTGGAACCAAACTCACTACTGCAGACTGACGCCAAACTGCTGGGTGGGCAGGGGGGGTCGAGGTGGTGGCAGCGTTTCCACTGAGGAAGGGGGGCCGTCCTTCTGAGCCGCTCGTAGCTTCTCATCGTGTCTGAAAGAAACACACACACACACACACACACACACACACAGACGGCCTGCTGGTTCTAGTCACCAACACTGAGGAACGAGTGCAGAGCGAGACAGGAAGTTCAACCGCAGTTACAGCATATACTCTCATCTGATTGGCTGGAGGTATTTCAGGTAACATCAGGGCCTGAAACCTGCTCCAATCAGGGTCCAGTTTCCCAGTAACCACTGGTTTTAGAAGTTAAAAGAATGGAAGGTTCAATAAAGTTTAATTTGAAGAAGTTGGTTTCTCTGCAGTTGGAGGAAGATTTAGCTCACACAAACTAAAGCAGGTGGTTCCAGTAACTGATCTGGGGTGAACGTCACTCAGTCATGGTTTCTGTGTCAGAGCTGCTGGCTGGAAACAACTTACTCAGCATGAATGACGAGAAGTGAACCTTTCAGCTCAGCCGCACTCATCGGTTTATTTTCTACTGCAGCTGTAGAGGCCCCTCCTGAGGGACTTTAGTCATCTCTGCTAACCTGACATTGAACTGACCAGGCTGGAAAGTTTTATACCGGTCCAACATTTTCCATCATCTCTAAACCAAAACTAAAGATACACATGTTCAGATGAGCTCATTTCAGACCGGATCATTTTAAATACCAACAAACAGCTTGATGGGGCTCGGTCTCGCACATATGCTGCTCTGTCCAGCTGTACCTGAGCACATCAGGAGGGATGACGAGCTGCTCGTAGTTCAGGTGATCCCTGAGCTCGGCCAGGTAGTTCACGTACGTCAGCTTCTTCCCAAACTTGTGACTGAAGGATACACAGTGTTAGTACGCTGTGGCCGAGGCCTGAGTTCTACCTGCAGACTCTGAAATGTGATGTTACCTGATCAGAGGTTTGAAAATGTTCCAGACGATTCGGATGAAGTTTGTAGGGTGAACGACATACAGCGTCTTCAGGTTCTTCTTGTATCTGTCACAAACAGTCACAGATTAGTTTTCACTATGCAAACAAGGAAATTATATTTACAGATGAAACTGTCCACTGCAGTTTTCCAACATTTGGATTTCTATCGACACTATGAGCAGCGATGCAGTTTCCCTCCACAGAGGTAGACGTACTTCCTGTCAAACTCGCTGTAGGCGTCTCGTAACCATTTCAGCGACGGCTTGTTGGTGCTCCTCAGGCCGTAATGGAAGTAAACCAGGATATAGTCCATCTCCACGTACTGGTCCAGTGTGAACTTCAGATACCTGCACATGGAAACACACAGTAACCACTAAACAACAACAACCGCATGAGGCAGCTGAACTGAGAGAGTCTGAACATTTTACTGTGCACGGACTCGAGCAGGCGCTGGTGGTTCAGCTGGTGAGACGGAGGCAGACAGCAGCTGCTGAAGGTGATCAGCTTCCTGCCATAGTTGTCATCCCCTGGAGACGAAACAGCTGAGATTTAGACAACACATCCAAACAACAAATACAAGAGCAGTCGTCATGGAAACATGTTCTGAGGAAGCTGCAGTTCTGTTATGGGTTCAAGACAAGCTGGTCTGAGTACAGGGCAGCTGCCTGTGGCAGTGGAATGGCGGCATAACTCCCCCTACACATCATCTCCCTCATTCTCCAGCGCACCCTGACCCCGAGGAGGTCCTTGTCTTTGTCCAGTTCAGAGACCTGTCGGTTCACCATGCACCCCCCGTGCAGGATGACAGGTTATGTTACAGAGGAGCACACCTCAGACCAAGTGCTAACCTGAGACCTGGATGATGCTGTGTCGAGCCACATCGTAATACGGGTGGGAGGGATCTGGACTGAAAGTGCTGCTGGGAAGAGGTGATGGACAGCCCTGGATACCACTCTGATCCTCCTCATCCTCATCTTCCTTCTGAAGCTCTGTCAGAAGGGAAGGAAAAGTACACATCAGAACCGACATCTCCATATTAGTTACAAATGAAAAGCATGCTGGGCATCTCTGGCCTCGCGTCCACTCAGCACCCACAGCGACAGAACATAAGTACTAAAGGCGTTCGATGGAAACACCTTTCACAGTCACAGCTGCTGTGGTTCCAAACTACCTGTTCCAAAAGAACCCCTTGAGCAAAAACTCTTCTTCACTGAACTAAAACATGCACTCAAGGTAAAACTGTCGTCCATGCACTGAACAACATGACAAAGTTTTCTCTAGTTCAGAAACAACAGAAAATAATCTGGTAACAATTTTTATAAGGTGAAGGAACTTAAGTTAAAAACCCATCAGAGAGGAATCAAAGGTGGTGGATCAACATGTGGGAACATCCTAAAACAAAAGCAGGTGTTCACAGGAAAATGAGAAAATGCGAAACGAGGCTGTTGTCCAAGCAGCAGAAGAAAAAAAAGCTCCTGATGCTCTCCAAGATGTAGGTGGGCACGTTTCCTCGGTAGTCTTTTCTATTTATAAATTCATTGCCATCATGTCCCATTTGTTTGTTTTCCTTTATTTAAAATAAATATCACACATGAAGTATCCCATGTCTGTCCCCAGACACACACCAAACATCATGCTAGGGTCCCACGGGTCATAATATTTATACTGCACCAGAATCAATGGTGATTATTGAAATTAAGCAACTGAAATTCAGTCTAAATACACCGAGATTTTTATTCAAAGGGTAACACCCAACTCAGATAAAACATGGCACAGAGCTGCAGCACTGGGAGGAAACTACAGTCACTGTTTCTTCTGCAGCTCTGAGGAAGTTTTCTATAAACACACAGTTGGTCTGATAACAAAGAGGAAATGATGCTGCTCAGACTGAATGCACAAAAGACCTGGGTTAGTCCACACAGGCAGGAAGAGGAGGAAACTCTGGTTGGAGTCCTGCAGTGGGACTCGTTCTGACTGACAGCCTGTTTTTATTTATGGCAGAAAGTTTTCAGACATAATCAACTAGCAGGCCATGACTTCTAGAAAGCAACACTGATTAGCTGCTCTGGAGGCACAGCACTAACAAGCCTCTGCTGGGCCCTGGGTGACAGTTATCCAGCTGTGCATGCAGTAGGGGGAGGGGGTCCTTAACATGCCTGCACCCCAAAGCCCGGTGTCTCATAATGTGTAGAGTGTGTAGACTAAGCTCACCTAGGTCTGCCAGCTGCTCCAGGTCAGAGGTCGAAGCCATTTCTGGAGAGGAAAAACAACTGGTCAGTGACCGTTTGAGCCCAGGCAGCTTCACACTGACATGAGGGAGAGAAACGCTGCTGCTCTGGAAATGATCCAGGCTACGTCTAACCCTCCAGAAAGCCACAGCGACTCCAACGTGTGTCAGCCTCTGGTGTTTTATGCAAATATCAGTAGGACACGGAGAAAAAAATCCTGTGCAACTGGATCCTGTGGGGCATTCCAGACCTTGTGCTGCTTTGGATCACTGACCACAGGAACATAGCCTAGTGCACGTACTGTGGTACAGTACCACACATACTGCAGTGCGTTACCACAGGCTTTGTAGTACTGTACGGGTACTAGTAAATTCCTGTAGTATGAGAGACTTCTGTGATATTTTGATGTTTACAACATGACAGTACCACAGAACACATACTTCACAGCATGTACTACAGTAGCACAGAAAACGTACTAAAGTATTGAATGTTTTCAGTAACACAGATGTAGTATAAAGTACCTGAGAACATGTACTTTAAGGTCTTCACCTGGTTAAATAAAGAGACGTGGGGTTGTTTTTGTTGCGATTTGTCGCTATACAAACAAAGCTGAAGTGTCCTGTGTACTGAGGCACCACAGAACATGTAGTACTACACAACAGGTAGTATAATGTACCACAGAAATGTAGTATAAAGTAGCCCAGCACAACACCTGTTGAACAGCTAAGGCGCCAGTTTAGCGACAGGCAGTGAAGATGCTAATGAGGCTAATTAACGAGAAACACCTGAGCGGTTTCATTAACCCACAACCCAGAAACACGGACCAAATACACGGTTACACGTCGTGTGTTTGTGTAGCGACGCCTCCGGTGACAGGTAAAGAGTCGGAGAGCACGTGAAGCAGCACGAAACTCACCTGTAGCAGCAGGTTAACTCAGGTAGAAAACACCGAAGAAAACTTCCTGAAACAGCCCTCCAGCTGCTGACGGACTGCGCATGCTCAGTGTGGTGAATGACCAAACCAGATGAAAAAAAACTTTGTTTTAACAAATATTAACTAAATGAGCACGACCTAAACTTTTACACTGCGAAATGTCAATAAAGTATTTATTACACAAGTCAACATTGTACTTACTAAGGTTCCCTGAGAACATCTAAAATAAATCCAAACGAATGCATTAGATTGTTGTTTATCCGTGTCTCTTTAGCCTGTCCTGTGGTGCCATCATGTGAATTTTAAAATAAAATGTCTTAAATTTGTTTGGCCACAGTTTAAAGACACATTTTAACATATCAATTAACACGTTTTAAGAAAGTTGAATACTTTTAAAGATCACTTTAAATACATGTCCATGATGAAGGGCAAACCCATAAAGACTGAGAACCTTATATTCTGGAGGGCCTGGGTCCATTGACTCGCTTCCCTCCATTGCCAGTTCCCCCGGTTCTCCCATCAACTGGTCAACCTGGAGCGGAGGCGGTTTTCCCCCGCATGAGCATCTTGCTCCACCCGCCAGCCAGCCTGCGGCGGCCGGTGGTTTGCTCCACGACCTGCCCGGGATTATCGCCAAGGCTGCGGGCCGAAAAGGCATCTCCGTCCCTGAGGCCAGCCCACCCCCTGCTCCCTCAGACATGGTGGGGGACTACTACAAGGTGGAGCAGCTGTGCAAGCCCTCCCCAATCTGGCCCAGGTTCCCCGCCATTCAGCCCCTCTTGGCCGAGGCACAAGAGCGGCCTGGGGGCCCGTGGGCTTCGGTTGCCTGCTTCGGACCGTTCACCAGAGTCGAGGGGATGACTGACCTTGGGCTCCCCACCGTCCCACCACTGGAACCCAGCATCTCCGCCATCCTGCTTCCCAAGGCAGTGTTCTTTGGCAGTCGGCAGTTTAACAGTCTGGTTGCTGCCCTGTTTAAACTGGGAGAATACATTTGGGTCTCTTCATGGATTTCCAGGTTTTACTGACTTGCTCGTTTTACTCTTCGATTGTGTTTAATTTCCATATTTGATCTATGTTGGATGATGTTTCTATATTTTGGTGAATTTGATGGACAAAGTTGTAAATGGTTTGTATTTGTATAATGCTTTTCTTTGCAATGAAGCACACTCAAGGCTCTTTACATTATTCCCAATTCACCCATACGAGCATACGCACAGACGGTGCAGCCACCAGGGGCAACCTGGGGTCAGCACCTTGCCCAGGGAGACTTTGACATGTGGGCTGGAGAAGCTGGGCTCCCGTCAGGAGATGACACTCCACCTCCTGAGCGACAGCCGCCCCCTTGAATCGACTGTAATATCCCTTTGTGACCGACTGTTAGATGTGAATTTCTCAAACACAAAGTGACTTTCATTTTAATTCTGAGCTCTGTCAAAGTCAGATCTGAAGATTTTCCTGTTCCTTTCACACTGACGGCTCCTGCTGAGGCACTGGAGGTTAAAAAGAAATCCTGGAAGGATTTACTCACAAACAAATTTATATGCAAAGCTGTCACAAACTCCGAGGAGAGAAATTTCAGAGAAAGAGTATTTGTCTTTTGGCCTGGAGCTGGCGGTGTTAGAGACAGAAGGGAGCAGGAGGAAAACATCATGAACAGTCAAAGTCATATAAGGTCAGAGGGGTTTTACTTTATATTCATGGAAGAGACAATTAAACTTTCTTCAAACCTGGTCAGGATGTGACTGTGTTTCTAATGGATGGGCAGACTGCTGCAGCATATTCTGCTCCATCAGACTCTTCATACAACTTGTTGTCCTTATGACGCATAACAATATACTACACACTACCTCAGGCAGTACCCCAGCCATTTATCTCAGTTTTTAAGAAGAGTGAATGATATGTTCCTAATGGGCTGCTGTTTTATAAAAGAATTTCCTCTGAAGAACATGAATCTAAAGTCATGTAATCCTAGAGAAAAGCTCTGCAGGTCACTGAGAAGTAAGTGCCGTTTTAATATCAAGTGAACTGAAGTCTGAGCTTCTTCTGGTCAACCCTGCCTTATGAGAAAAATGCAGCACCTCTTGGAAAAAAGAGATTTACTTTAGAAATAAGATGTTCAGGGCCTTGATATTAAAGCTACTCTTCTTAATTTCTTTGGAGCCACTAGGGAGACAAACTGTATAAACTACAGTCTCCAGCCATAAGTTAGCATTAGCTGGCTAACAGTAAACATGTCAGTCCAGTAGGACCCTCTGGTTACTGCTGATGTGACACAAAGCTCCAGTTCCTCCCAAATTAAAATCGTATTAATTCAACACAAAGGTAAAATCCTGACCATGCTAGGTGGCTAATGCTACCAAAACAAACAGGTTAGCTTTAGATGCTAACACATCCAGAAGGAAGAACACCACATCTGAATCCAGTCTGAGTCCTCTGGCTGCTTTTAACCCTCTCCATGTTAGTTAACCCTGGTTGTTGCTCTTTCTTTGTCCCACTCTCTCTGTGCTAAAGACGCCACCTCTTCACTCTGGCAGCTGCTGGTTCAGACTTTTAGCTGCCCAGAGCTCCTCCATGGCTGTTTGACATGACTACTGGAAAAACCCTTCTTCTAACCTTGGCTAGGCGGCAGGCGGGGCTGATTTACAGACTGTACTTTGACAACACAGGGTGGAGAAGCTGGAATAACAACAGGAGGCTGTAGGCAGCAGAGGGTCACGGAGGCGGGTGTAGCTGGGAGACACCATGTCCTGTCCCACTGTCAATGGGGTTATCAGGCTGTGGGAGGAATCTCATTTCAGTTAATCTACCGTTAAATGAGGCTAATGTAAAATGTATACAATGGTTTTAGCAAATGAAGTGGATACAGTTGCTGGGAGCAACTTGGTGTCCATTGTCTTGTCCAGAGTTGAACACATGAACAAAAGGAACCAGGGATTGAACCACCAACCCTGTAATTATTGAAAAATCTCACTCACCTGTCTGAGCTACAGCCACAGGGGTCTCAGTTCTTACATTGAGGCAGAGATGGAATAAGAAGACAAACCAAAACAGCTAGAGACATGTACAACAGTTACATATCTGATAAACAACAGTACATCCGATACACTGTAAACACTCCCTAAATGGTTTCAGCCTATGAATGAATACTCTGCCTTTATCTGCTACACACACACACACACAAGCAGAAACAACACATCACCCAAATATCCATAAGCAGTGAAGAGGGGGAAAAAACAAAACAAAACAGGGTTTATATGGTATTCGATGATTATGCAAATGAAGAGAGAGTATATAGGGAATATATGACCCAAATATAGAAGAAAATAATAATGAGCTTAGTCACGGGCGGAGGATACTCGAGACATCCACATGCCATATGAGTGGGAGCATAACTGGAAGCGGGATTATAAACACCCCCTAATCTAAATCCAGCCAGAGGAAAAAGAAGATTGACTAAATAAACAGGAGCTGGGGCAGAGCTTCACACTTACATGTAGGAATCACGAGATCCATCCATCCATTACCTACACCGCTTATTCCTGAATGTCACTGCCTTACATAGGATATGTACAAACATACTGAGAGCCGATGTACCAGAGTCAAATTCCTCATGTGTCCAACACACCTAGCCAATAAAACTGATTCTGATTCTGAATAGAGTCAGGGGGCTGGAGCCAATCCCAGCTGACACTGGGCGAGAGGCGGGGTCCACCCTGGACAGGTCGCCAGTCTGTCACAGGGCTGACATGTAGACACACAACCGCACAGACTCCCACAAGTAATTTAGAGTCGCCAGTCACCGGGAGCTGCATGTATTTGGACTGTGGGAGGAAGCCAGAGAGAACCCACGCAGAGAGAACATGCAGACTCAGCACAGAAAGGCCCCAGGTTGGCCAGGGCTCAAACCCAGAGAATCAAGATTATTTCTTAATTTCTAGCATTTCATCTGTTTTAAATTTATACAGAAAATATATGGCGCTTTCATTGGTTCACAGATTGTAACTGTGGGGCACGAGTTCAGCTCGATGCATTGGTAAACTTTTACTTATATGTGTTTAATAAATGTAACAGCCTTAATATAAAGAATAAAAAGGAAAATACAGCCTCAATAGGTCATGTTTTTAGAACAATGGGAGAAATAATGACAATCACTTACTCCAATTTTAAACCAATTCTGAAATAAATCTGCCATGCCTGTTTATAATGTGATGTTTCCATTCTGCAGCTCATTTCTATCATCATTTCCTCCTGACTTTGTGCAGTGACATGTCTGAATACTGATCCTGGCAGTAGCTGCTTGGTGCCGTCTTGTGTTGCAGCCCAGCAGCCAGTAGATGTCAACGTTGCCGCACACCATCAGCAGCCTCAGGCAGCAGCTCCCACCGTCGCAGAAGCATCCACGTCGGAGGACACATGAACGCTCCGATAACCAGCATGTCAGGACAGACAGACCCTGAACGATACTATCATCCACAGCGTGAGCAGCAACACAGCTGCACAACCTCCACCCTGGAGCACAACTCTGGTGTCCAAGCATTGACAATACTGCACCATTAAAGGGCCATTCTGTAAGTTGTAATGTGCTGTTGGCTGTTACTGCCACAGGGCACTGGTATATTATCATTATATAACATGACAGAAACCAGGTTATGGGTCTTGAAAACCAAACACTGTTTCTGTTTATTTGTTTGGATCACTATGGATGGATGAGCGAGTCTCTGGGTAGTGAACATGCGAGTCCACAGCCATGCAAGCAGCCCCGTAAAGCTGCACCTGGTCTCAGTGTTCTTCCTAAAGAGAATGACAACATGGTGAAATTTACCAGCTTCACCATGCTAACCTTAACTCATTAACACCAAGTGCAGCTGATGGGAATGCCGTTAGTTCTGCAGGCATTTGTTCATTTGTCAAAGCACTGGACACAA